GGGGGCGAGGAGCCCGCCCCGGTGTGCTGGGGGCAGCTCCTTGCGGGGGAACGAGAAACGGTAAGAAGGGCAGTGGTGTGTAAACGAAAGAAAACCAGAGAAAAACGTATTGAAATGAGAGATAAAGGTGCTGAAGAAACGTAGCCGTTTTATGGGCTGGTTTTCCATTAAATAGAATTATTTCCCATATACCTCTTCTTAAATCAGCACGTTGAGAGCCTTACTTTAGGTCCTTACCAGACCTGTGTGCCTTTGCCCAGCTCCAGGTATGGATCGCGTGTTTTCACCGGCTGCCAGCCTTCCCGGAGCGGCCTCGTACGCCCGTTTCTCCTTCAGAAGGCGACGGCGTGCGATCGCACGCTGCTAACCTGCGCTGTCGTCAGCGTTGTCGGGGTTAGGCGCCACGTCCTTGTCTTCTGACTCAGGGGTACACGTCATGGCTGCTGGCGTGGGCAGGGTCTCCTGGAGCCTGGAACAGTTGGTGCTGGAGCAAAAGCCATGAGCTCGGCAAGCCGCCCGGCTCCGTGTCGACACCAAGGCCAGTACGCTCCCACTTCTGTTCCAGAGTTAGTGTGTAAGTAAGTAAATAAATAAATAAATACATTTCAAACCCAAAGTATTCTTTAAAGTCACTCTTCAGCGCTCTCCCAAAATGCCTGGCGGTGTCAGGACTCTCTCCAAAGGCAATGGGCATCCTGAGAACAAGATTAAAGTAGCAAAATGGAGAAGACAGCCAAGATCGAACAGACAAAGTAATGTGGAAGGGGCAGTGGAGAAGGAATTAGAAGCTGACGGGAGAACACAGGAAAACTAGTTAACGAAGAAAAAATAGGAAAAAGAGGATAAGGCAACAGAGGAGCAGGAGAATGTCGGATGGGAGATGGCGTGTGGAGGTGGTTGCAGGGAGGCGGCAGCTGAAGGATGAGCTGTGTCAAAGGACGGCAAGTGACGGGCAATTCGGAAGGAGCACGAATTCAGCATTTGGTAAAAAGCAGATCAAAAAAAAGCGACAGTGTTTGAGTGTCAAAAAATGTTATTAAAATTGGAATTTTTTGGTAAAAAAAGTGAAAGTGTAATAGAAATAGACACCACTCCAGAAATCGGATAAAAGTAGGAAGAGTCAGTACAAAGGAAAAGAGCAGCTGCAGGAAATGTTCTTTTCAGAACATGGAGTCGCTGGAAATGGGAAACTGATGCCGACTGTGATTTGCACAGGTTAGGAAACTGTTGTCGCGGTCCTCACAGCCAATGCAGTCCAGCCCGTGGCCAGACAAAGACTGTGAGGCGTAAATAGGAAACACAGGCCGTTTCCTATAACCTTTATCAGATCCTAAGTGGGAATTTTAGTGGGAGAGATTGAATTTTGTTGAAAGGAGATGGTGCAGGAAAGCAGGATGAAAAGGTAAGTTGTCAGCCGTGGCGTAAGAAGACATGCCAGAGGGAAGCAGACAGCCGAGAACAAGCTGTAACAAGAACTTGTAAGAGCAAGGGTAGCAAGGGGAGAAATAGCACTGAGGCAACTTCCAAAACACCACTAATGCACACCTGAGAGGCGAGTGCTCAGTCCCCATGTGCAGAAAAGCAGAGCAAACGTTGTTAAGAGTGACATTTAACTGCCACGTTGAAAGCAAATCTGACAGTAATGAGAAGACGAAGGGAAGATGAAAGGTGCTTGGCTAGACTTTTCTCCGCAGAGAAAAGCGAGGCTGTACCAGAGCAGATCTGAGTCTCAATTCCCAGATGTATTTTGAGAGAAATTAGCTTGGTTCAGTAAAACTGGAAAAAAAAAAAACAAATGTTCAGATCAGATAGAAATCCTAACGGCTATCAGCAAAAGGTCAGTTACTCTGGCTAATGCTGTGCTGCAGAATCAATATTCTAACTGCAGATTCCACTTTGAAATTTGTTTTATTTGCATTTCTTCTCAATAGGCATTTTGTTAACAACATTCAGTGTCTTTAGAAGTCAAAATACATTGCAAATTGCCATACGCATCCAGAAATGAGACAGATTGCATTTCATCCACTGAAGTGATGAACATTTCATCAGAAATGGAACATTCTTTGGTTAAATAAGAACAGCAGTTCAAACTAGCTGTGTTTAAATCCTGTACATGCACTACGTTTCCACAAATTAGCAAAAAGTGAGAACCCAAGTTTAGAAGTTTGTCTTCCTTTTTTCAGCAAGTATACAGACATGACTAAATGCATCTCTGAAATATTGCAAAACCAGAGTCAAAGTTTTAAATAATACACGTTGCACAACAAGCATTTTGGGGAAAGCTACAGAAATAACTAAAGTACAGAACACATGGAAATAAATTACACATCAGCTAGTTGAAATGCTTAACAAATTCATAAGGGATTATCAAGACCTTTTATAAAAGTGCCTATTTGATCTAATAATTAAAGCACAACATATAAATAGGATTTTTGCTATTGACTAGAACTGAAGCAAGATCAGATCCTTTACAGTCTCAAGGAACTGTGATTTTATTATGATATCTCAGTAACACTCTTTGGGCTAAAAGCTTTAACAAACATCACTTACTACGTGATGACCAAAGTCACTTGAGACATTTGTCAGTTTAAACAAAAATTGGAACTAGTATACAATTAATAACATAAAGTCCAATTAAGCAAACTACCATCTCCTTTTTTTTTTTCTCCTCCAGAAAATCCCACTCAAAACCTGCAGGTCATAGTTTTGATGAATTTCCACAGACATTCAAGGACTTTTATGGTAGCTGTTCCTTTGGAGAAGAAAGCATGAAATGAGAACAGGTGATTTAAGATGGCATTTCTTCATGAAGCCCCTTTTGTCACTTTACATGCCATCGCAGTTTCATGTTTTGAGGTTCTGTCAAGAGCCTCATGGCAGGTCCACATAAAAAAGCTTCTTGATGAATGTGTCAATTTACCATACAGAAGCTACTCCAATTAATCTAGGTGTGCAGGCAGGCAGCCGATAGCAAGTAGGGTATTGTAAATTCAAAATCTTTCTTAGTCCACACTGACTTCTTAAACATTTAAAGCTCTACGGAACATCGTTGATACAATCCCTTGCTGCTTTAAGGCAAGAGCGTTAGTAAGTTAACGGATAGGACATCGGACCATGTCACTGTTACCAGGCTGTCTAAGGGTGTAAGTGAAACTGAGAGTATAGTAACAGCAGCATTTCTAAAACTCTTCCTCTCTTCTCCAGCTTGCTTAAACATTAAGCTTCTACACTGGATTTGCTTAATCTGTGTGTGCGTGTGTGTTTAGGGGCAGGGGAGAGAACAGGCAGTTCAGGCTTCTCTGGGAATAGTGGTGAACTGGGATAATGAAACATGTAATTAAAGTTGCGCAGAAATGTTGGACCCATGGATTCCATTACAGGGTCTAGTGCTCTGCCTGTTGAACTCAGTTTTTAAATTCCCATTAATCCTAATGGGAAAAATATCAAATTTGTAGTGGGCAAAACCTCTCCACGACAAAATGATACAAATCAAGGATTTCACTTGTTGGTATTCTATAAACCTGCACAGGATGGGCTGTTTTGCTTCAGTACTACACAGTGCAAGATTCGGGGGCAAACTCAAATGGGAAAATGCTGCTCATCTGCCAAAAAAAAAGGGAAATGGATTCAGGCAGGACGCTTCCTCTTTTTGCGTAATTACCTCTGCAAAAGATCTGCCCTGCTAACAGAGTCTCTGGCAATGAGACAAGAAAAAAAAACTATGTAGAAGTGTCTAAACAAAGTTGTTCCCCTGCATTTGTCTTTGATTTGTATAGAATATCAAGGATGGTGGTGATGCCCAGACCCTTGAACTTGCCCGAGGGCTAAGTGGTCCCTGGTAGTTAAACCAGCATGGTGCCCAGCTCCGCTCCGGGAATGACTCCCTCTCCGTGCCAGAACCAAAACAAGCTCAGCTACACTTCGTTGCCTTCCAGCTGGCCACAGCTCCTGCAGCCGCCTCTGAGCTCTGCCGGGGGATCAACCTGCACAAGCTCAGGTCACTCGCCCAGGGTCCCCGGCTCCTCCTCAGCCCAGCCGCGGTGCAGGCTGGTGTCCAGAGCTCGGGTGCCCTCCGCGGGCTGCTGGAAGACCTTCCCGGCAGGTACAGAAACCCCATCTCCACGTGTCTTCTTAATGTAATGGGGAGAACAGCCATATAATTTGCAAGCGGTGTAATGACTTAGCTGGTTAGCCATGGGACCTGTCTTTCTGTGACATCCTTGGGAAATGCAGAGTAAGTTTACCAGGACATCTAGAGAAAGCGCTGAAGGTGAATAAAATACCTTTGAACTATTTTGCTATTATCACACGAGATGCCTATTCATAATGTTTTTGCAACAAAATTTGCACTTTCCACACTAGGAAAATGAGTTTTTCATGGCCTGAATTATCTACCTAACTTTAGGCTTCTTTGAAAAATAAATTCATGAACAAGCCCTTTAAAGCTTAGTGAGGAAAGAGTTAAGGGACTGGCTCCGCCCCTAGGTGAGTTAGTGATGTCTCACAAAAATCAGTTGCACAAACGAGTTAAAAATAAAGCGGTGGCTGGAGAAGGGATGCAAAAAAATCTGGGCTACAGGCTATTAAAAATACTCTTCCTGTCTCGTAATACGAACAGGCTAGCTGAGAACATTTACTTAAATTCTTCTTATGAGAATGTTTATATTTGGGATAATCCTTGTGGGGCTGATTTGGTTTGGGCCCTTAACGTGTTTAACCAGCTTTGTGTCAGTGAGAGACAAGTTATACTGGAGCCATGTTGTTTGAGCTGCTTGCATTTTTTCTAGTAGAAAAGAGATTTTCTACTCAATTTCCAAGTGAAATATTAAAATAGATAACTAGGGAAAATGCACATGTAGAAAATACAAATTAGGAAATGAGTACAGCTTTAGCAAAACTTTTTTTTAACTTACATATCTAAATTTGCAGCTATTAAGTTTATCTTAGAGTACTTACAAATCAAGGGACACCAAGCAGAAGTAATATCTCCACAATGTATAGAGGGTTCTGAGTAGGCAATTTGCTTTTTCTGTAAATCAGAACATTATATTTAGCACATACTGTAGTTTCCCTGTGGGTCCACAGCAATACAAGTCAAAACAAACAGATACAAAGCATTTTTAAGCAGCATTCAAGATGATGCATTGCCTGTTTGAAATGACACTTTTGTACATTGCAGGGTAGGGCTAGTATCCACCTCTCCTTTATAATTTGAAAGTCTGTGTTGGCTTATTTTCACTCAGCTCCATGTAAGACAGGGCTATTTGGAAGCCTTTTGGTGAAAAAAAAAAAATCACTGTAAAGTAACCATTTAGCATGAAATTTTGAAAGTGTTTGGAAAGGAAACTCAGAAGATCTCTACCTCGAAGCCCACTCAGTCATCCTTTACTTGGAACTGCTTTTAAATACTCTTCTACTGCAATGGCAGAAACTTCTCCATACCAGCTTTGAAGCCAGATGTGTTCAATGTTCATTTTCATGAAGAACCACTCATAGCTGCGAGGCCACTTTCTTACCACTGGGTGCCTTGAAGGACAAGGAAAAGAAAGAAAAAAAAAAAGATGTGCCGAAGCATACCTGCAGTCTTGCTTTTTAATTCGGCCTAGTATGCTCAGCCAGAGTGAAACCTGAGATCTGAGAACCACCACCCTTCATCTTTTTTGCCCTCCCTTGCAGTGAGTTTTCCGATCTTCCACACCCCAGTCTGGTGAGAACTGCAACGAAGGCAGCCAGCAAACACCACCTTCCCTCATTACAGAACCCCATCTCTAAAGGCAGATGTTGTCTGGTCTCTAAGTCAGTGAAAAACAGTTAGAAGAGGTTCTCTGAACGTGTGTCAGCGTTGTGCTTGTATCTCTTCAAAGGAAATGGTGTTCTGAAAATACTGCATCTGTGGTAGCAGTTGTCGTACGTCAGGAGTGCTAGCCGGCAGAGCACAGCCTCTTCAAGCTGTCGCCTGCTAAAGCCTTCTCGTCCTGCATTTCCATCTCATTTCTTGGGCCTGCCCTCACAGCTAGCTTGAAGAGGCCACCCTGCCAGCAACACTGGGTGCAAACCTCAGGCCCCCAGCCCGCCGTGGGTGCCCCTGCAGCGGATGCTGTGGGATGCTCCGCAGCGGTGCACGGAGCAGATACAACAGCTCGAGCTGCAGCGTTCCTGGGAGCGCGGGGGCAGGGCTGGCCCCGTGTCCCTCTGCCCCTGCAGAAGACCCTGCAGAGGAGGCAGTTGGTTTGGCAATCTCTGGGCTGAGCTGGGATTTCCCACTGTTTTCTGAGTTGTCTCTTTGAGCACCCACAACTGTGGCATTTAGAAGTGGCTCCAGCTGCTGCTGGCGTTAGATGCCTTGGCAGCCCTCACCGTGTTGGTCTAGGTTTTGCTCCCTGACAGTGGAGCATCCTCTGCCAAGGTGCTGGTGGACTCTGGCTCGTGTAGGAGTCTGACTTCTAAAAAGTTTGTGAAAAAAGCTTGTGTGCCAATATAGCCCCCATCTATCCCATTTTTCATAGAATCATAGAATCATTAAAGTTGGAAAAGACCTCTAAGATCATCAAGTCCAACCATCCACCCAGCACCACCATGCCTGCTAAACCATGTCCTGAAGTGCCATGTCTACATATTTTTTGAACACCTCCAGGGATGGTGACTCCACCACTTCCCTGGGCAGCCTGTTCCAATGCCTGACCACTCCTTCAGTAAAGAAATTTTTCCTAATATCCAATCTAAATCTCCCCTGGTGCAACTTGAGGCCATTTCCTCTCGTCCTATCGCTAGTTAGTTGGGAGAAGAGACCAACACTCACCTCACTACAACCTCCTTTCAGGTAGTTGTAGAGAGTGATAAGGTCTCCCTTCAGCCTTCTCTTCTTCAGACTAAACAGCTCCAGTTCCCTCAGCTGCTCCTCACAAGACTTGTTCTCTAGACCCTTCACCAGCCTCATTGCCCTTCTCTGGACACACTCCAGCCCCTCAATGTCCTTCTTGTAGTGAGGGCCTACCAAAGGGAACCGACTTGCAGGGTCCCCCCCTAACCCCTTCCAGCAGGCCAGAGAGAGTATTGCCTCTGAGCTGTTTCAGACCCCAGCTTGCCCTGGTTTCCCAGCAGTTTGTGGTCGATCAGGCTGGGTGCGCCTGCAGCACCATCCCTGGCAGCCTGCGCGGGAGGTGCATGCCCCAGCTAAGGCTCGGGCTTTTCACACCCGTTACTCTGAAAACCGACTGGAGGGCACAGGGGCACACCCTGGGTGTGTGCGGATGCGTCAGGTTTGTGCTTGCATCTGTTCAAAGGAAACAGCTGGAGAGGCAACAAAACCCGTAAGCTCCAGCCTGCAAACGGGCGCAAGCCCAAAAGCAGCAGAGCTCTGCTCTGTCCCTTAGCAGGGGGCTGTGGCTAAAAAGCACTACTTGTCCTAAGGTGGGGAAGAATTATTCAAGGTAAAAAATACACCCTGGATTTATGGAATGTCTCCTCAGAGCCAGATGAAATATTTTCCTAATCCCCAGATTATAAATCATGTGCTTTACCAGAGCCCAACACTGACTAATTGCATTTCCATATTTTGTTACCTGAAGAGTTAAGAGGGGGTTGCACAGCTCTGCCTGTCCTTCCAAGCCACACAGGAGCCAACACGCTTCGTGGCCCCAAAGTAAAGATCACAGGCTTATTACTTCTCAGATTTTTCCGTACCAAGCGGCCACATCCGTATATTTGTCTCAAGCCTGCGGGTTGCACTCTGCTACGTGCTCATTACACACAGACCTGGAAAACATTGCTTGCTTGGCAAATTCCACTTCCTCCGGAGGCACCGTGACCATCTGTCCCGTGAGAGTCAGCCTGGCACACCTTGGATCCTCCGGATCAATTACGTTTTTTCTGCACAGAGAGAAGAATGCTCATGTGTAATAGCTTTGTTTCTTTGTTAAAGGTTTTGGAGAAATATGGATTCCTGCTCGCATATAAAAAACTTCAGTATTTTGTCAAGCCTTGCAGGTCTTTCCTACACCCAGCTGTAACATTTGAGGGGGGCTCTTGGAGGAATACTCACCTGAAACAGATCTCTGCGGTAGATATTTGCTTAATCTTAATTTATACTTTTAAAAACTGCATTGATATATGTTAGATTGTAAAAAATGTGAAAATGGCAGTTTTCCCAGACATATGTACAGACCTGAATTCAGGATTCTGAAGAGAACTAGAGAGATGGTTAGTCTGTGCCTATGCCTACAAAATAAGTATGCATACATGTGTTTGTGTGTAAAACTTAAGGTTTTTCCTTGTGCCTATCCTAGAAACTCAATCCATTCTTACCAATTTTTCAACCGCTTTACACCAAAGAAACAAGTAAGATCTATTAAAAAAAATTCTCCAACTGTCTTCATCCTTCAGACCAAGACAGGGAAGGTACTTGTTGCTTTTTGGCTCTTTCTATACAGTAATAATAAATAACTCCTATTAGCAGCTGTGGGGCAATTGCTGACTCTGACATATACAATACAACGATATAAATCATAAGGAAATTGACCAGTCACAAAAAAATAGTTGTATGAAATGACGGCAAAGGCCTAATCCTGGCAAGCGCTGGGCAGCCCCAGGTCCCTTTGCCAGCAGTTTGAGACTGCTTAGTATCTGGCAGGACTGTCTCCCTGCATAAGCACAAAAGCCCGAAAAACTACAATAGGAAACGAAGCCTGCATTTCTTCTTCTCTGTGTTTTAATCTGAAGCAGCGAATCACAGTAAATTACATCTCATCTGTGTGCGATTTTACTTAAAGATCTTGGCTTGAGCCCTTTAGACTTAACTGCATACAATCTGCAATGGCTTTTTGGGCTTTTTGGTTATAATTCTCAATATGTGTCTATTGCATGCAGGAAGCATATGGGCATCCTCCTGCAGCTAATTTAACACCTGCAGATTCCCCACAGATGATTATGAAAGACTGTGTATCTCACGACATAAAGTATCTGCTTTTATAGTCAGGGCCACGAACAGAGATAGGCAGGGGAGCGTTGCGGGCTGATGGACACTCAGCTGTGCCCAGTAAGCACTTGGCACCGTCTGTAGCCTGAGCTCCAAAGAGCCATTTGCAGTCACATCATCTCTGGGATGTTTTTTCAGCATCCTGTTCCGTCTGGAGCAGCAGTTGTCTGAAGGGGGTGTTCAGCTTAATGACCTCTGGACAAACTCCACTTGTACTCTGTTTCCTCTACTGTGCTTTCTGCATGGGGGGAAGGGCAACTGCCAAAGATCAAGCTCAGACTTTCTGTTCACATCAATAAATAACGGTCTAATTTTCTCTGGGACTTTTTTTGTTATCATTATTATGATGATGAAGTCATAAATGAATGGTGTTCTCAGCACCTGAAAAATCTGCATTCCCTACCCAGACACTGGGTTTATTTCTATCAGTGTGTATTCAGAGTACAAACCTGTCTATGTGGTCACCTTGCCATGCTGCGGATCCTCAAGGGTAACCCCTGCGGCATGCTGAAGGTGCCTTTCCCCGGCTGGCTTACAGCAGCCTGCGAGCGTCCTGTCCCTATGCCGTGCAGCTTCGTGCCCCAGGGACAGCCGTCGCTCCTGGCTTTGCTTTTGCATAGGCTTTGGGTGCTGTGTGGGTGTCCAGCGTCCACGGTCCCATGAGATGCGCACCAACCACAGCACGAATAAATGCAGGCAAACACAGCGTATAGAGCTGCGGAGAGAGGAGCTGAATCCCACATACAAAGGGTGCCAGCTGACACCCCTGCGGCTGTTGGCCCCGGATAGCAGAGTCTTAAAGTCCATCTGAAGTGGTCTCCTGATCTATTGTTATCTTTTGTGCTTAATCTTAATACTGTATCAACACTCTTTACATATTTAACTAGATGATTCTTAAAAATGTGGAAGGGAAGGGCCTTCTCACTAGCAAAATTTCAGTTAAGAACTTTGCTTTAAACTAGTAACTCTGTATCTGTGTGTATGAAACAATTTCCTCCAGAGCCTAACAGTATTGTAAAACAACTGAAGAGCTGGGAAAACCAGACGTATTTGCAAGTCCCTTTCTTGGGCATAGCTCCTAGGTAAGACGTTGTTACTTACTTTCAGAGAGGAATCAGAAAGGGATTGTTATTCAAGGATGTCTGCATTTCACCGAGTAGATGAAGGTGATAGATTTGGGTGTGATCGGGAACAGTGAGGCATTTTGGTCCGACACCTTCTCAAATTACAATTATTTGATATTTTTTGTGCAAGTACATATTTGTTCTAAAAGTGTACTTGGTGATTTTGAGTAGGCAATAGACCTGACTTTGCTGTGGTTAAGCAGTGAACCCTGCCTGCCTTTGCTGAGATGGGTTTTGCCTGACAGGACTAGTGTCAGATGTGACTCTTCCCCCATTTACAGAAAAAACTGCTCCCCGCGTATTTGGCTGACAACAAACCCCACACACTGTACATCCATAGCTGGAATGGTTTTATTTCTGTTTTTTTCCCTGGCTCCTTCTTCTGTTTGCAGTTTTCTCTAAGTTCTGCTCTTGTGAGTCAGGGTGTTACACTAAGCAACACACACAATACTATCATTCTCAGTAAAAGTGATTCAACCTGAATTTTGCACATTGGAATAATACTCTGGAGGGTCGGTTTGTTTTTCAGGGAAATGAGGCAACCAAATTCTTTGTTAAGATTATGTTAAATGAAGTTTTGGAGGAGCTGAACAGGACAATGATACATTTGAGTTCAGTACGCTATGTTATGACTTCGTTGGCTTTGCTTTTAGCGCTGCCTCTTATCACAGGTTTTCTGTTTCAGAATAGGAACCTTGTATTCTAATCTTACTAGCATTAGTATTTTCTTCATCAAAGGAGCCCTTCATATTCTGAAGTAAATCTGGTTCTGCATCGTTTTTGGCATAGTATTTCCCTAATAATGCATGATTAGTTTTATACTTTTTAAATCATCAAAAATCACAAAACTCACAGCTACCACTTCTAACTCCATGGTGAACAGGTCTTGAATTTTCAGCGGTGCTACCAGTGCAACTAAAAAAATAAATGCAGGCTTTGCTTCCTAGGAGTAAAGGGATATAGCCAGGGTTATATCTCATATTTTTACTAAAGATAATAGAGGGATACCAGGGATAAATAGGTGTATTTACTAAAATATTCCTCCCTCACATCTGTGGAGGTCTAGTCATGCATTGACTAGTCACTTCTTGCCTTCTGTATAAATAAACGCATATTCAGCTCTCAGGCCTTGCGTTCCTTTTATCTTTGCTGGCCCAAGAACAAGCAGGTGCGGAGGAGCGGCTTTATGTAATGTTTGTGTGCTGCTGGCTGGGGGCAAGGGGAAGGCAGAGCCAGGGGAGAGACGGCATGCCAGTGATGCCATCGCTCTGTCGAGCATACCCAAGGTGGCTTTGCAGCCCTCGCCTTTACCAGAATCAGGTCCTCTGTCTCCCTGGAGAGGATTTCATGAAGGCTGTGATAAAATATGAATGGAGGGGAAGAGAAAGCAGGTAACTGTGGAAGGAGACCAAACACTAAGAAACACATTTATTTGTTTATGCTTACGTAAAGTATATACACCTTGTTGCAGAAACGGAGGGAAGCCAGATTAAAATGGAAAAAGATTCGGTTTAGGCATTTCATAAGAACATGGTGCATTAAGAGATATTTTCTTAGTTATTAATCTGATTTGTGAAGAGAGAAGAACTGAGTGTGTCCGTTCCTCTGCTTGCGGTGAGCAAACTAGGTATGCAGAGTTTGACCCAGTCCAGGCAGTTGTCTCTTCCAAGCATGTGAGATGAGCGCATGAGCTGCATTCACTTACAAAGGTACCAGCTTTACTGACCTTAAGAAGAAGTCGTGTCCAAGTGAAATATGTTTCCCAACAAGGATGCAATGCCACGCAGCACCCTGCTTATGAATACGTCCCACTTATTTTACTGCGTACCTCTTCCGCACTTTCTGAGTCATGGTTCGAGAGCGGTTAAGAGTAAAGAGTGCCACCTACTCATTAAATTGTTTACTAGACTAGCCATCTCTCGGATTTTAATTAGAAGGCTCCTATACAACAACTAGTCAAGTCCATATCTGATGAACCCATAGTTCAGGCTGATGCAGTTATATCGGCACACAAGGTGATGACTTTGTTAGGATTCCCTCTGGCAGCTGAGATCTCTGCTTTGACTGACAATGCTCTGTCTCCTGGTTTCTGACCAAAACTATCCCTGGGGTAGCAGCTTGATTCTCAGCCTCTGCAGTCCGCTAGTGAGGTGAAACAGATCTGGCACAGATCAGCAAGAAAGGCAAGAGAGGAGTTTGGGAGGCACTTGGGAAGGAGAGCCAGGTGTCCCCAAGAAGGAATCGGTAGAAGGAACGTGAGAGGGTTCAGTAATGTTCCAGGGACGGGGGGAGGAAGCAGGATCTATGGAGGGGAATCTCTCTTTTTCTTCTTCCCCAGCCTCCTTTTCCCACAGAGGAGCTGCCATCCTTCTCCTCCATGCCCCTGCCACCCACAGGACCTGCCATCCTTCCTGTTAGGATGCATAAATCCTCCCCATCTCCCCTGAACACAGTTCTCTGCCCTGTGAGAAAGCGTTGCTTTTACCCCTCTATTTCTTGAGCAGAATGGAAGAGAAAAGAAGTTGGGAAAGCGCTTTCTGCTATCGCAGAAAAGGAGAGCCAGAGAGTCAAGAAGAAAGCCTCAGAGAACTGTTTTCCTACTTTTTTTTCTACTTTAGAGCATGCAGCTGGCATGTGGCATAAAGGAAATGTGGCAATGACTGTCTCCACACACCCTAACCTTCCTATAGCAGCAGCAGCAGCCCCACAAAGCCATACAATTAGGAGGTGGGGACGGGCTGCTGGAACAGCTTGTCCCTTTCCACCTCCCA